CAGATGGTTTGGAGTCAAACAGTGGTCCTCTTATTGTTGAGTTGCAGAAGCCTCACGGTGCCAGTCTGGGAATCACTCTAAGTGGTATGGAAACATGGGAATGAGACTCTATCAGTAACTGTATTGTGTGTATGTGTATTAGATGAGAGGGTCCCTGGTGAGCCTATAATGATATCAAGAATAAGAGAAGCTGGCATTGCTGACAGGTAATGTGTCACTAATGTGGATTAATAATAGATACTGTAATGTGAAATCAAATGGTCATAACTCAAAAATTGTTTGTTGGAAACAGCTCAAACTTTCTACACAACATAAGTACATGTATATATATCTTGAAAAATATGAAAATAGAGAATTCTCTCCTTTGCAATTTTGGCAAAATTCCATGTATGTATAGTAGCACATGGCCTCAGGCCAAATTTTGCTAAAATACAGGGGCTTGACCAGATTTTTTGGCAACTTTAAAAATTCATAAAAAATCCAATTTTGATCGGAATCAGCTCAAACTTGCTACACAACATAAGAGCATGTATATGCATCAGGAAAATTTATTAAAATGAAGCATTCTTTCCTTTTCAATTTTGGCAAAGTTTTGCCTGAGACCTATACTATAGTACAGGGACTTTGACCAGATTTTTGAGCAACTTATAAAATTTTAAAAAAATCTAGTTTTGATCGGAATGAGTTTAACTTTCTACATACATGTAGCATAAGGACATCACAATGTGTCAGAAAATGTAATAAAAATTGTGGGGGTGTGATTAGAAGAGGCTATTTCCTTACTGTAATTATGTACTACATGTATTATAATAGGATTGGCATATTACACTGTGGCGATAGACTCCTCTCTATCAACGGAGAGAAACTGATCGATAAGTCGGTACAAGAGGCAAAGCATTTATTGAATCATTCTGACATCACTGTTAAACTCGAGGTCATGCTAGCTAATAATTTCACTGATACTGATGGAGGGAGATTACCTGTATCACCTGCTGATGACGCCATTAGTCGAGTATCATCACGCTGCTCTCAGTCGGTGCCTGTTGAAAACCAAAGAAGACCCTCACAATGTATGTATAGTTGTACTCGTATCAATAAGAAAGTTCTTGAATTGATAATTTGCTTAGTGAATGTTGAGTTTTTAAATTCTCTCTCTCTCTCTCTCTCCTTATTTTGTGTAGTATCATTAATATCAGCTACCTCGTCCAATCAAGTTATGTTGCATCCAGAGATTATGACTATCACATTATCAGCAGATCCCATTGGCTTTGGTATAGCAATAGAGGGCGGTACTGATGAGTTCAGCAGCTATCCTGTTGTTATATCGGAAATATTTCCTAACGGCCCAGCAGCAATGTATGTTTATGATGGTTTAATTTGTTAATTTTATATCTTACGATTTCACAGTTGATATAAACCAGCATCTAGGGAAAACTGTTTTATTTTCTAAAATTTGTTTTGTTATGTTTCTTAACCCTCTCTCTCCCTCTCTCTCTCTCCCTCTCTCTCTCTCTCTCTCTCTCTCCCTCTCTCTTTCTCTCTCTCTCTCTCTCTCCCTCCCTCTCTCTCTCTCTCTCTCTCTCTCTCTCCCCCTCTCTCTCTCTCTCTCTCTCTCTCTCTCTTTCTCTCTCCCTATAGACTCGGTAGATTATTAGAAGGTGATCGTATACTATCCATTAATGATGAGAGTCTAAGTGACGCGTCTTTGGACCACGCCTCTAAACTGATCAAAGAAGCCGATGACACTTTGAACATGGAAATCGAATTTGATGTTGTTGGTAAGAGAGAATCGAGGGAGGAAGACTATAAAAGATGGTTTGTTACTTTTTACTAGATTCATCAGTAGTTCCTACTTCTGGGACGTTTGAAGTTTCACTCCTCAAAACAGGTTTTCTTAATTTAGGATTATCGATAAGAAGTTAGTCTATTAATGCATACATACATGTGTACATTGTACATGTATTTAGTCTTGTACATGTAAACGATAATCTTAATGTCTATAAAGGCTTTTTATTGATTTTAATTCTTCACCCTCCCTGTATAGAGAGTGGAGACAAAGTGTGGATATCTGATCTTAAAAAAGGCGGGATTGCTTACAGGTGGGGGTACTAAAAATGACAAATTTTAATTAATTCATAATACATGTACTTACATGTACATTATTATGCACATCATTTCAGGAGTGGTTCGCTTAAAGTTGGTGACATATTGCTGACCATCAATGGTGTGAGTGTGGTGAATGGTACACCACACGAGGCAGCTGCTCTATTAACTAGCAGTGGAGAGAGAATATCACTAAGTGTCAGGAGAGAAGCAACCAATAACTTTAGTAAGCTATGACCACTTTCAGTTTCCACTTGCCCATTTGTGCATGCGTATGTACATGTACATGTGCTTTTATAATGTGCGTTCATGTGCATCTGCATTTGTACATGTACATGTACATGTACATGTACATGTATATGTACAATGTACATGTACATGTAGTTGTACATGTACATGTACATGTGTATTAATGTATAATGTCTCTTCTCTCTCTCATTTAGTGCCATCAAAGCAATTACAGTCAAAGTCCACTCCTGTCATTTATGCTGTGGAGCTAACAAAGAATGGAGATAGCCTAGGGATAAGCCTTGATGGTAATAATTACAATGTATTTTAATATGTACATGTACATGTATGCAACTACATGTACATGTATGTATGCATGTACACTGTACATGTACATTATCAAATTAAGATTCTTTTGTCCTCTTTTTTAGGTTCCGAGCAGCCAGGACAGCCCATTGTGATTTCAAAGATTAGAGAAGGAGGTGTTGCCCATAGGTGAGTGGGTGTGGTCATTACTGATTTGACTCCACTTCTTTTAATTAGAACTGGTGCTATTAAGGTTGGTGACAGGATAATAGCTATCAATGGAGAGTCCCTGCTTACTAAAACCATTGACGATGCTTGCTGGATACTCCAGAATGCTGGCAATACAGTAACACTGAAGATTAGCAAGGGCGTGGTTAGACGAAGTAAGTGGGTGTGGTTAAGTGGTTGCTATGACGATTGTTGTTAATATATAGGACAGAGACCGAAAATGATGACTTCTACAAATCGAGTAAGTTGGAAAAATTATTTTAAAAACTCGCATGTACTAGCTATCACCTCCAATGTTACCTTCTCTCTCTCTCTCTCCCTCTTCCTCTCTCCCTGTACAGTATTACAAGCAGCAAAGATACAACAATAGATTTAAGAGTAACTCTCGTATACCCAGTCGTATCAGCCACAGCAGTGAATCAGAACTAAGTGCATCATTCACTAGCCTAGAAGGATCAGTACCTTATCTGGTTCACTCCCGACACCCTCATGAGAAAAGACAACAACAGCTTCCTTTTATGAACGGGGCAGTGCCAGGACGATATAGTCCCTCTAGGGGTCCTAGGGGAAGTGGGCGTGGTCGATTGAGTCCAACGAAAGAGCGTACGAGCCCCAACAGGGAGAGAAACGGGGGATCAAAGGCTGGGGGTGTAGGGCTAAAGAATGGAGGTGTGGACGGGTTCCATCGTTTGAGTATTACAGAGACTACAGATGAGGAGACTCAAGAGGAACCGCCTCTTCTCTGGGAAGGGGAACAAGCTAACGGGGGAATTAGGAAACCAGGGGCTTCAAGGAACGGGGCTTATTCTAATAAAAGCCCGCACAGCCCACTAGTAGAGTCGACGTCAAGTTGGAGGAATAATTTAAAGATTGTTCCGAGTTCGTCGGAAATATCTGAGACTCACGATTCGTCTGTCTCCCACGCTCCCCCTCCTGCCCCCTCCTCTGAGCAGCACCCTGTTCACGATGGATTTGAAGAGAAGATGATGGAGACTATTTATCGGAGTCAAGGGTTCACGAGGAAGCTACGCCATCTTGCACAGTCTGGATCCTCTGCAGAGGAAAGCGATCAGGAAATGAGTGGTTTATTTCTTCATCCTCACTATCCTTTCTCTCTCCACCCTCCCCCTTCTCACCCAGAGCCTGGAGAAGAACTCATAGAAGTGACGGTTGTTAAAGAGAAGGACTTTGGGTTTAGTTTCAGTGATGGGCTAAGCGAACCAGGTGTGTATATAAATCAGATTAATCCTGAAGGACCTGCTGCCCACTCTGGACTTCAGTCCTATGACAGAATCATCGAGGTATGTCACTAAAATGATACATTTTAAAAGTCATTTATATACAGTGTATTACATGTACTGTATTTATTTCTTCTCTCTCTTTCTTCAGTTTAATGGATCGCATGTTGCTGATTATGATTGTTTCAAGCTTCGACCATTGTTCTCAGGGACTGATACCATTGTACTGACTGTACTTCGCAAGTCTCTCTCAAGTGGAGTGGGGAATGGAGCAGCTGCCAAGTCCATTAATTTACCCACCACTTCCAACGGTCCCAGTCTACCAGTTTACTTATCCTCATTGACTGATGATGAGGGCCAATGAGTTGTGCGACCATCTCTCTCTCTCTCTCTCTCTGTGTCCCTTATTACTGTATTTATGTATCATCAACATCTTGTCTCTCTATCTCTCCCTTTCTTCCTCTCCATCTCTTGAAATTTTGTATCAAATATTAAATATTATTATTTATGTATTATTCCAAGAACTAAAAGTATAATAAGACATAGGAATGAGAAATCTCACATTCTGCGAAGTGTAATTCAACAGTTGCCATTATATACATGTAGTTGCCAGTCTTAGTATGCAGTCTTATACATACTTAATTTTAAAATTGATATCTTTTTACACTAAAGTATGAATACAAATTTGATATGATACTATTGGTTCCAGTTCTTATACTCCACAGAGGTTGGTTCACTATTGCTGGCATCAGACGTGGTACTTCCTTTTAAAACAAGTCTCGCCCCGTTATTAAAATCAATATGAAGGCTTCTCAGCTCTTTACCATGACGCCTTGCATCAGCTGGGGTTTCTGTCATCAAGGAAACCATGGCGGTATCCTTGTCCCCAATAACTTGGAATAACACTTCAAGAGTTGGGGGTTGGTAGCGAAATGGAAGGAGTGATCTTAGAAATGATGGACCACGTCTTATGGTTGGTAGAGTCCACACTAAACCTCCTCTGTACGAGTGTGCTGAGAGCAGTCCTACTCTTAGTGAGCTGCCTATAGCCTCTCTGATCTCATTGTTGGCTCTTAGCATGGGCAGGAGTGATGATTGGAGTTTTCTCGGTTTAGGGAGCCGCAGTCTTTGATAGAATTTGATTGCAGGGAGGAGGGATATCCCAAGGATGAATCCATAGGAGAAGGTCTTGCTTACTGACCACCATTTGGAATATTTTGTTGTTTTCTCTGGCTTTTCACTAGCAGCCATTTTGCACCTGCTCCAGCCCCGCCCACTAAAATATGACCACGCCCACTTCATGTTAGCCAATGTTATCCAATGTCACACAGATTGAAGAACCTTTGGACATCATTAGGGTCTAAGTTAGGAGTCTATAGGACTATTCCATTGTTCTTTTGTCTTGGGGCTGGTATTGAGTGGTTTATGATTAATGTGCAAATTGGAAAAGAGACATTTTGTAAGAACCTCATAAGTCATTATTATTATTATTCAGGCACAAAATCACATTTCAAACTTTCTATGTAATATATTTATAGACATATGAGGGTATAATTAGAATAGCATTAGGGGATTAATGCATTTCGGAGCATATAACAATACTGTAGCCATTTTTGCAAGTTTAGCAATTTCTAAAAATCCAAATAGACCAATTATTATATAGAAAATGTAAAAAAGAGAATTTTCTCTGAGCCATTTGTTTAAACAGAAGTCTCATTCATTGCGTTTTGTTGATAACTACATGTACTCAAAAGTCAAAACTTTCAATCTCTTTCTAACAGACGATACTGTGATTCGTAAGGAAGCCGAGAAACGTTCAAGAAACAGAAAGCCAACTGCTATCTCAAATCAATAATAACAATTATATATATAATAATAACAACCTTATATACTGTATACATTATACATATTGTGTGTACTATTATCTCAAGCATGCCTGGCCGGCTGACATGGTCTGAATACATCACTTTCGCTTTTGTTGCCTTTTCCTCCATGTTCCTGGGTGCCACTTTTGTACACAGGATCTATAAGCCAAACCTGGTAAGTTTGATAGAAAAATAAACACCATTTTATTGACACTGCTGCTTTTGTTTGTATTATTGCTATCATTATTTTTGATTAGACTATCCCAGATGATCCACCATCACTAGAAGGCAAAGAATCTAAACTGATTGGCATCAAAAAAAGACCGTCATAAACAATCATGTATCGTTTGTACTCTTGTACATGTGTACTCCATGTAGAGGCTACTCAATGCGTGTATGTGTGCATATAGACATGGTTGAATGTGCCTATGTGGCTTTGTACGTCAACATTGCTTCATTACTGATTGCTTATAAATTGATGCATCAGCTGTTACAATAACTGTGTGTGTGTGTACAGATGAGCGATTTAATTGTGACTTTAATGGGGACCTATACACAAAGACTAAAAAGACTACTCTATACAATGAATGAATGATATATAGATCTATATATAATATACACACGCAATTAAGTGTCCTATATACAGCTCACAGTGTTATTTGAATCTTGACTTTGATCTGACCTTTGGCTCTGTATAAACAGGAGGGACTGAGTGACTGTCAGTCACCTTATCATAAGATGCTAGCACTACGTCATCACTCAAAGGTTTTGCCATTGTTGCGACTGGGACTTCATATGGGGTGACTATAGGATGTGGTTTATGGGGAGGTTTAGGAGCAACGTCTACTTTACTGTAGCCTGTAAAAATGACTGTGGGAGGATTCTCCTGCTGTCTTTGTCTTTGTGTGGTTGCTTGAGGTGGTGCAACTGTTAATGAGTTATCGATGGACTTGCTTGGTCCTTTTGCTATTCTTTGAGAAGATGCTTTTGTTGACGATGACCTGCGACAATCCGGTGTTGACATAACTGACTGGCACATTGGGGCCTCTTTTGCTTTCATTACAGTGGCAAGACTCTGTATTGCTTCATTCATTCCTTCTGCTCCTGCAGGAGGAGGAGGAGCAGCATTGCTAGCATTTGAGGACTTTTGGTGATCACTGAAATTACTGTATCTAGCATCTGTCGAGGTGCTTATAGGCTCATTTGTAATTCCTTCTTCTGCTCTACTGGTGCTTCTAACTCCTCTAACCCTTTCCCGGCTTCCTCTCTCAAAGAAAGATTTAATCAAGTTTCTCACAAGCAGCCACAAAGCACATATTTCTTGCTCCCTAAAACAAAACAATTTTATTTAGATAGTTTCGTGAGCCTTAACCTTTAACTTACACTTTAATTCCTTTGATAATTCTGATCAAGAGAACAGCTATGAAGATTCCTTCCACCAGGGAGAAGACGGCAAAAATAACGCTAAAAGCTACAGCAGCTTCGTAGCTCATTACGAACGGCGCTAGAGCTATGAAATTATAAAATGTGAACTCTCTGTCTCGTGCCTTATCTAGTCTCCAAAGGGAAAACAAACACCTCGCCCCAATGCAGATAAAGAAAACAAATTTCCAAATTAAGATATTATTACAATAATACAAGTGCACACATCAATAGTATCTAAAGAGTTGATTTATATACTCGTGATACACACAAAAAACAGAAAATGAAAGGATGACGGTATAATAATAGCTATGCATTATTATGATAATAATAAACAATTTTTCTATTTTTTTATCACTCATTCTACTTTGTAGTACTCTCTGCTGCTTTACGAAGCATGCGTGGCTTTGGTACAGGTTTATAAGGAGTCCCTGGAGCTGCAACAGAACTGCTAGATCTCCCCTCTATCCCTGGCAGTCGAGTTAGCTTGCTATCAGATGCATGTGCTACTAATGATGACTCAGTTGATTGTACATTGAATATATCTGAACTTGTAGCCGAGCGTCTTTTAATCTTTGAAGTCTTATCAGTGGCTTCAACTGATGTTTGCTTTACATCAGATCTAGACTGACAATCAGGATTGGGCTGACTGTTGACAACAGACTGCTCCTCTTGACGCTTTTCCTCCTTTCCTTCCTTTTCATGCCCACCTTTGTTGCCTTCAGTTTCATTCTCACCCTCGCTCTCCGAGATATTGCCATCAGCATTAGGAATGCTATAAAAATCTTCATAGTCTGCCGGCTCAATATCAGTAGGACGTCCTTCATCAGGATTATTGATTGCACTGTTTGATGAAGATGTCGAGAGACGCGAGTTGTTACTAATGCAAGAGTAGTCATGAACACTGTCCCTGTCTTGCCTGTCGTCTCGAGAGTTTTGTGACGAATCGTGTGAAATACAAGAATAATTGTGCTCACTTTCATTTGCCAAGGAATAAACATCTTCCTCTTCCTCATTCTTACTTACTTCCTCTACTACAATAATGGGGTGATCGAGTCCAGAGTAGCTAGCTCTGGGATCAAGTTTAGAGACACGTCTGTTAGGATTCTCATTTCGCTGGTTGGACTCTGAAATGACTGAGACTCTCTTGGTATCTTTCTCCTGATGAACACGGATAGTTGAATTCGACATGTAGTTAGGATTGTCCATGCTGACATCCACTCCTCTCTTAGGAGCAGGAGTCTTCCCATTTTGGGGGTCAGTGCTATCTGTAGACGATAACAAAAAATATTACTATGTTTGGTATCTTTATTGAAAAGGATGCCTAGTATATAAATACAATTTTCAATATCTGGTCCAATCAAAACATGCGCAGTGTTTGTATAGAGAGGTACACAGGCTTTGCTATTATTATGCTATCAGTAGCGATGCAAAGTATGATTGCTACTAAAGAGTAAACTGATGCCAGGTCATTTCAAAAACATTGAAAATAGATGCATAAATGCAGGCATTGTGTGAAATCACACTCCATGCATGTATGCATACTTATACTGCAAAGAATAATATGATTTTAAAGTTAAAAATTGGTTACAAGTACCTTCAGCCATTGAAGTATCATGTTTACTGGCATTGGCCTCTGCTGTGCTTTCCTGAGCAATGGGAAATAGCTCTCCTTTCCTTGTTTCTCTTAGCCTCTGATATCTATAAATGGAGAAGACAAAACTGCTATACTGATGTAGTAGGACTTATGCAATTTACTTGGTTCCTTGCTTTCTTTGGTAGCACATATAGCATGAAATAATGAAGAGAATTAGTATGAGTATGTATGATATGCTCAACAGAATAGAAAATATTATGATAGGTTGCTCTAAACAATCATCCATAGTGCAGTTCATTCAGGAGACAGCCAGTGTTACCTTCTTATTCCTCTATGTGAAGCCAATGGAGTTGTTTTATGACGGCGAGACGAACTTCAGCTTTGAGCACACAAGAGTTGTTGTAGCAGCTCAGCCTCTGTGGATATGCGGAAATCCAGTTTATCAAATTTATTATTACTGGGTATCCCAACAAATTTTTGCTATTGATTTAATTTTACTCAAGCTATTTTAAAAATTTTAGACAACTTGGAAGCTAAAATGGCTGCAGTTCCTCTCTCAACTCCTTTTGAGAAGAGGCTACTCCAAAATGGAGACAAGTTCCTGCAAGAGCTCTCTAAGCAAACAGAGTCTAAGTACAGGACCTGTTGTCTCCTTGCAAACTCTTCAAAATGTCCTGGAGAATTTATGATAATTGCACACAAGCTCCTGGAGTCTCTCAAATTGAAATTCAGTACAGAAGAAGAGGTATATATATGCTATGTCTTATGCTATCCATAAATATGTGCATAATTTTTGCTATGCATACATGCACGTACCTGGATATAGACCATCGTAATAGATGCTTTAAATCAGCTTAAATGCGATATTGATTTATCATCATTATTGGGTCCTGTATCAAGTATCACCGATTCAGTCGTGTACATAAAACTGAACAGGCCAATAATTTTTAAGGAGACCATTATTGACACGTTGAGATACTTGGCTGCTTCTTGTGCTTCCTTTATCACTGATGCTGATGTAATCGTGTGTCCTCATTTTGATACAAAGAAGTCCTCTTTAAAAGTATCTATGGAAACTGGGAGGTTGTTAATGGCTGCAAAACTTCTGAGTAAGTTGTTTAATACTATGCCTTGTTTGCTAACAGAAAGAAAGGTATGGTTTGTTTTTTACAAAACTCATTTTATATTTTAAAAGTTAATTGACAGCTCTCCTTTATTATCATCGTTACTCTCGCCATTTGAGTCTCGGGTTTATAGCAGTGAAGGTTTGAGAAGAGAGGAATTTCTAAAAAACCTTCGGCCATGGTACGAAGAGCCTAGCTCTTCTATCAAAGTAATCGCTGAATTATTTTTAAAAGAGAAATCTCTTTACGGTACTCCAATCATAATGAAGCAAACTTAAATCATTAGTTTGATATAGGAAGGAATAAATTTTCGAGGAACATCAATAAAATCGAAGGTAACTGGATGTTATTGATATAAATACACACAGTGCTTGCACACGTTGCATTACAGTAAAGTTAGATGATGTTATTGTTATCAGTGAAGCTGCATACACAGTATAGTGATTTGATAATGACATTTTATTTGAACATCAATGACTGTTTACACTGACAGTTGAAACTAGTGAAGCAAGCTTAACAGGAGCTGGCCACTTGGGACTGAGAATATACCAAACAATAGTGGAGAAGAACAAACAACAGGTGTGGATATATAGCGTGTACAATGATGAGCATTCCTCTTTGAATACAATAGAAGACAATGGAGATATTGGTGATAATGTTTATCTTTATTTATAGACTAAACTTGTAATTCCTACGACACAGGGTCTTGCCTATCTAACTCAGCAAGCTGCAGTCCTCGCTTTAATGGCTGCTAGCAGCAAGAAAATAGATATTACTACTTCGTTATCGGTAATGCAATTATTATTTTTTATAAACAAGATGTTGTAGTAATGATGATAATATTGTTATTCTAAGATTCTTGAAGTGTCTCATATTACTTACGTTAATGGTGACGCTTGCGACTTGGAGAGTTATGTTCAGAGCAGGTATCAATGTACTAAAGATGCTTCTGAAATAAAGTATGCTTCAAGTTTATAATTTATAATTTTTATTGTTATATTTAGGGAGTTTGAGGTAGAGAGCATTTCATCAAAAATGGCAGATGCTGCTGTCAAATTTGAAGTACTTTCAACCCCACTGAAAAACCCAGTAGGAATATTTTGTACATTTACTGCACGTTCATTTATTTCTATTATGCATATGATATAGTTAAAGCTTGTTTTGCCAACTCAAGCATCTGAGTTCAGTGTTTATCTCGAAGGAACTTTTGTGATGTACAATTATGCAAGAATGGCAACCCTTGAGAGAAACTACAGAGACAGCATTAGTAAAGGTATGTCTGGCTGGTATGATTCATAATTAAGCTTACATTACAGGGGTTTACCCGGCTCAACCGCAACCACAAGACATTGATTATTTCTTACTTAATGATGAAGTAAAATAGCTCATTAGTACTATAATAGGTGCTTCATTTTTAATAACTTTCCTGGTACATATATGTTCGTGTGCTGCATAAAAAATTTGAGCTAATTTTTATCAAATTTGGGTTTTTATAAACCAAAAAAATGTAATAAAATTTGGATGATTTCAGAGCCATTTTTGGAAAAAAAATTAGAATTTTGGCGTTTTCTTAAAATGGCCATAACTTGAAAAAATTGAAGTCGGAATCAGCTCAAACTTTCTACAGAGCATAAGGGCATCAAATATGTATCAAAAAATGTAGTAAAAATTTGGGGTGATTTTGGAGCCATTTTTTGGAAAATACCATGGGCTATAGCCTTGGGTATTTTTCAGAATTTTGGACATTTTCTTAAAATGGCCATAACTTTAAAAAGTAAAGTTGGAATCAGCTCAAACTTTCTACAGAGCATAAGGGCATCAATATGTATCAAAAAATGTAATAAAAATTTGGGGTGATTTTGGAGCCATTTTTTGGAAAATACCATGGGCTATAGCCTTGGGTATTTTCAGAATTTCGGCATTTTCTTAAAATGGCTGTAACTTTAAAAATTGAAGTTGGAATCAGCTCAAACTTCCTACACAGCATAAGGGCATCAATATGTATCAAAAAATGTAATAAAAATTTGGGGTGATTTTGGAGCCATTTTTTTTTGGAAAATACCATGGGCTATAGCCTTGGGTATTTTCAGCATTTCGGCGTTTTCTTAAAATGGCTGTAACTTTAAAAATTGAAGTCGGAATCAGCTCAAACTTTCTACACAGCATAAGGGCATCAATATGTATCAAGAAATGTAATAAAAATTTGGGGTGATTTCAGAGCCATTTTTTGAAAAATACCATGGGCTATAGCCTTGGGTATTTTTCAGAATTTTGGCCATTTTCTTAAAATGGCCATAACTTAAAAAAGTAAAGTTGGAATCAGCTCAAACTTTCTACAAGGACGTCAATGTGTATCAAAAAACAAAATGACCTCAACAAAATCAATACAGATGTAATTTAAAGCATTTTAGAGCCATTTTGAATAAAGCACAAGCTACTTTCATATTACATAGGACGAATGGGAACTATTGTATAGCTATATTCTACTGTATCCATCAATGCTTAGAGATGCAACAAAACTCACGGGATCTATAATAGCTACAAATACAATGAACAAAGTGAGATTAATGCATCGATCTACTCTTACAAAAATTACATCATATCTCTTATTTCTAGCTCCCTCAGTTTCTCATTAAATTATGCCATTTATTTAGCAGCTACTACAGCCGTGTTAAGATACTACTGGTCAGCTTTTAATGGAATATGTATTTATTTTATATCATCATATACAGCCTCCCGAGCCACATTTGTTTCCACTGATACATGCAAGAATGACATTAGTAATTGCATTGAAACAAGCAAGTCTTTTAATGTGTCCTATAGTTACTATACATTGGATTTTACAGGTACTGTTCAATGGGCTACAGATACTAGGAATATCACCTTTAGAAAAACTTTAATAAGAAAATATTTGACTTATATATATATATTAATATGCAAACATTATTCATTATTTCTCTCTCTGTTCTGAATTATAAATATCTTATCAGTCAACACTACACTAATATTAGGAGGGAACTGCCTGAGAGCAAATGAGAGACGAGAGAATCCAACCTCCTTATGCACTATCTCATGAGTATCATTGTAATACTCGTAATCTGAAGCTGATATCAAAAGGTAATCAAAATTCTGCATGTCAGAAGAACTGTGCTCAAATCCCTCAATCTTTGAATAACTAAAAGACAGAGAGAAATAGAAAAAAACATAATATTCACATTAAATAGAACGATGTACTCTTGATAAAATTAGATGATATCTTTTCTGCTTACTTCCAAGATGGATTGAGCTCTCCAAATCTTGTCACTCCTGTCATGGCTGCTTCCACTCCAATATGAACAGTGATAGGATCTACAATAAAATAACATTACAGTAACAAAAAGCATTGCACTGGATGCAGGCATGCCTTTAGTTTGTACTAGTTTGTGGAGAGAGTGAAAAGCATAGCCTCCAGGATAATTGTTGTGAGAGAGATAGAGAAGGAAGAGCGATGCCAGCCAAGAAAGGAAGAGAGAGGAAATTGAAATTAGTGGGAATATTAAATGAAGCTTCTTCTTATTCTTCCAACTATATAATAATAATAATGAGGAAAAATAATGATAAAAAGGAATGTATAATAGTAACAGCAAAGTAAACAATTATCAGTGAGAGTTATATCAACATTCTAAGGAATATCCATGCTCACGTGCAACAAACTGATAAAAGGTATTCATAATAATTGTTTTAGTGGGCTATTTCATAAGTAAAGCAGGAACTTCCTGGCAATTTGTGGCAGTGACATGGAAAATGAAGCCTTAGAAAAAATACTGGCTCTATACAAAAGTATAAAAGATGTTGAGTTTGAAGGAAGGTTTGAGAAAGAAGATGAAATAGAATACGATGATGGTCCGTCAACTACAAGATACCTAGTTGCTGTGTATTCTGATAACATAAGGAGAGTTATGAAGGAGATATGGGATATTGATTCAGGCGACCAAATATGGAAAGGGATAACAGGAAACACATTTTGGGCTTGGAAAATTGAAGGAGATTACAACCATGACAGATCTATCTACAAAATAATTGAAGTTGGCCATGCAACAAAACTCAAATGGAGGAACGGCGGTATGATGCTGTCATTAAAGTGACTCTGGCAGCTGTCAACAAAAAACAATAGAACACCTTCTATTAAACATACTTTAAATACATAATTTTAGGTACTCTTGCTTCTATTAAGCATACTTTAACATGTTCTTTTGTGCTGCTTAATTCTAATGAAAAAGATTATTATTATTTTGAGAAATAATGTAGCACTAGGGGGCGTAATAACACAGACCACAAAAAGCTCACGTGAGCTCCACAGATACCCTTTACGTGATTTTAGTCTGACCACAAGTAAAGCCCCTTCCCCACTATACTGTACCGATATGGCTGAAGTCCTGTCTAACATACTGGATCTATATCACAGTATAGAAGGAGTTGAATTCCAAGGAAGATATACAGGGGAGAGATATGTAGACTATGAAAGAGTAAGTACTACTAGATATCTAGTTGATGTGCACTCTGATAACATAAGGAGAGTAATGAGGCAGATATGGGCTACTGATAGACACGACCAAGTATGGAAAGGAATAGTAGATACCACATTTTGGGCTGAGAAGATTGAAGGAGATTATGATACTAGTACTGTCTTCAAAATTACTGGAGTTTATTATCTTAAAAACCTCAACTGGATGAGGAGAGAGTATCACGCTGTCATTAATGTGACACTAGTGGCTTTGAACTGAAACTGAAAGCAATAAATGTATTTTATTAAATTTATTCTTAATATAATGAGTACAAGTGTATTGCTTCTTTTTTGTGCTGCTTTTATTCCACTTTATAAAAATAATAAAAACAAGCATAACATATAGTGGGCAAATTCAGTGGCAGTGAAAAATTAAATTAGCTAAATTAGTAGGTTGGCAGGTTAAATTTTAGCAATTTTCTTAAAAATCTGCAATTAATTGATGGGCGTTTTCCTAAAATAAATATAATTCCTCGCCATATACTCCGCTACAGATAGTTTTTATAAAGAAATGGTGCCAATAAATTTATGTAAACTGCATGCAGTGACACAGCAATATATCACAAAAACAAAATACAATAGAGCACTTTAATTTGGCACAGTTTAGCGTTGTGGCATAAAATGAATTTGATAATATAATTAAGACACATGCACTACTGAACATGCACATTACTGATTGGGTAGTTTTATATTGGTAATTTTAACAAAAAACCTCCACTAATTAAAGTAATATTTAAAAATACTATCAAAGCACTTTCACAATTTGAGAGCTTAAAAATCTGAGTTATGAGCATTTTAAAAAACTTCTATGAACACCATGAAGTAGCATCAGTAAAAACAGCAATAGCCAGCAGTATACACAAGTGTTGGAATGCAACCCATTACAAGTATATGCATACATGTATATGCTATACATTATTCATATGTGGATACACCCAGAGAGTGAATGTGTGTACAAGGAAATAGGAATAACAGGTTAAAATAAACAAATAATAACTCAACAGCAATAACAGCAATAAAAGTAATGGGGACTTTATATACACGCATGCATGTGTATATTTATCAATACATAATATATATCAATGAATCATTAATCATAAAATATAATTTCCATTTTAATAATAAAAAAATATTTCAGTCCAATATTAATGATTTCTTGAATCTGGTGGCAGAGCCTTCAAGTATATGCTAATGACAGATGAGTAGTCCTTCCTCTGCCATTTCAAAACTTGTTTACCATGAGTGAGTCTGTCCAACTTATAACAACTGATCCCTTTACTTTCTTCATTTCCCTCTGACTGTCCATCGATAGATGAAACCCAGAAAGTGTGTCTATCTATTCCTTTCCACACGTCATCTCCTCTATCACAGCCAATGATGGCTTCCATTTTACTCTTCATGCCTTCACTGATGACTTCAACTAGATGAAAAGTAACCGAGCGGCCATCATGGCTTCTCTTCTCCCTGTGCCCAAGATAGTGTCCCTGGAACTCGACTCCTTTAAGTTCTTCGTAAAGATCAAGGATCCTGTCCTCTGGTGATTCTCCAAATTGATCCATCACTCCACATAACATGAGTAAAACAAGTTCCCTGTATTACTAGCCTCTTGTAAACACCCCTTTTTAAAGAGTGACCCACAAAGACTACTTCTCCACAAGACTACTTCTCTGGATTTATAAAGAAAGAGTACAGCCAAGTTACTCTATACACACACAATGGCTGTATATATATGCCTTTTCCAGATAAACAAAATACTGCCAGGTAAACAAAATAGTGTTAGGTAGACTAAAGCTTCTTCTTCTGTCACTCCTACTCTCACCACTTCTGACTTTTAGGAAAGTATATCATGCCACACCTTTGACAGCAATGATAGGAAACATAGTAGAGACAAGGGCAGGAGCATATGCCAGGATTTATAGCTTAATTCATAACAGTCACCAGTTATTTCTGGCAGTGGGAATGAACGGGAAGCAGTACAATATACAATATAAATTAAGAGTATACACGTACACAGAGCAAACTATGAATGTCATTAAACACGCCTTCTAATAATAGCTATGAATACGTTCAAGTGACAATGGTTAACAATGTCACACTATTGGATAGTACTGGGCTATAGCTGCACTGGCACTGGTGTGAAATAAACAAAGAGAGAGAAGGCATGTCTTTCATAACCACTGACTCTGGCATTATTAAAACAGCCGAAGACTACCAATCCATAATAGGAATAGAGTTCACCGGAGTGTACACTGGCAACTGGACGCTGGAAAGAAACGGTAAAAAGGAACTATACAGTGTCATAGCACTACGGTTTGATCCTAGAGAGATATCGCCGGTTCTGTTGTCAATAGCAACCAGTGACCACGCCCATAGGATATGGACAGGCATGACGGGGCCTAGAACAGGGTATCCACAGTCGGAATATAATCTATGGACTCGAGCTCCAGTAAAAAACGCAAAACCTGACAGAAAGCAAACTTATCGCATAATGGGCATGGCTTGTTTCCTTGACGATGTGACACTAGGCAACCACACATACAAAGGAGGGGTGGAGCTTTTCATTGAAACTGACTAACACTTTTAATGAACACGTTAACATTTTATAACGTTTTATTTTATTAATTGTATTTTACTTACATTTGGGCGTGGCCCACTGCAGATGCGACGTTAAATAGCGGAATAGAATACATTATAAACCGAAGCTCTTTGTGAGGGAGGAGAGAGTACACGCCCACAAACCCGAGAGCAGGAATTAGAAGAAGAGTGACGCGTCCAAAATCATAATACATCCCGTACGGGATAAGAAATAAAGAGAAAAGGAGGGAGCGAGGGAGGGCAGACGTGAAATACCACCAGACTGGAGACGTCTATGAAAATGTTAAGGACAATAAAACTAGATTAAAATCGTTGAATGTAGTCCCTTCTAGCTCAAGCTGCAAAAATTGAGCGGGCAAACATACATGTACATGTATAAAAATTTCGAAAGTTAAAACTGGTTATTAAGTAGTTAATTAAAGGATACACCCCAATTGGAGCTCTTGTTTAATATTGTGTTGTACCAGAGTACCTCCCCCTCCGGCCACACCCATCTACGCCAAAAATAAGAGTCGACAAATACAGTCAAACCTATTAATTAAGAATAGACTATAACGACCTCATTAATATTCATTACCTAATAAAGCCACGCCCACTGGCAGGGAGTAAGTTAGAAATTTCGTGAGTGACAGTCGTCTTGAGAATAGTTCCAGTATGAGAATGAGACCAAAAAGAATGGAAAGTTCAAATCTGAGAATGAAAAATCCCATTCCACAACACAGTCATATAAGGATTGAAATCACCTGAATATCAGTATTGCTGTCCCTGATAACAGTATAAAAGTAAACTGCTCGGCCAATAACCAATAGCGGAGAGCTAACAAAACTACATAAAAGAGATAAAACAATCAAACTAGAAGAGTTTGTCTTTACTGTCCATAAATTCAGCAGCTGTTTAGTTTTGGTTGTTTAAAGTTGATACTTACCCAGTGCTAATGCAAATACGTTGGGTAGAGGACGAGACAAATAAAAGACAAAGTGGAATTGAGTGAGAGTCACTACAATCAAAAACCGACTCACAGTAGGACCAAACGTAGTACGTATAGAGCGAGAGAAGGAAATGAATGATAGACTAACAATCAAACCAAGAACACCACGGACTAAAGGAAGAGAGAGTGAGGGAGAGGAAAGGAGAGGGGGAAGAGAGAGGGGGGAAGGAGAAAGAGGGGGAGGAGAGAGAGAGGAAATAGAGATATTTGATACTGATTCATTCCAAGAAACTGATTACTGAAAAATGCTTTGATGTGTACAATGACATACAAATGATGCATTCCTTCTCGATACATGAATGGTTTTTGTTACACACTGTTATCTCTAGATGGTCATGGTTAAAATTGGAAATATGACACTAAAGCTACTGTATTGTATGGTAATAGCTCAATATTGATAATTGCACAAAATATGTACAAAATTGTATTGTTATTTCACTAAATAGCAGGATAACATAACACAAAGATGCATGCACTATGCACCCTCCAGTGAGTAAGCACTGGCATTCCATGATCTTTGGTCAAATTTTTGGGAACTTAACAAGAGTATTATCGTAAAAAAAATTTCTAAGATTGTTTTACCACCTTGCATGCATAGCTTGGTTCTTATTAGTAACGCGGTAGCGTTACTAAGTAGGATTCACCCCTAAACAAAATGGCTGCCACTGCTTTTGCAGCCTTGCTATACCGGGAATTAAGGACTTAAAAAGGTTCTCTTTACTTTCTAAAGAAGTCTTTTTGGGATGACCTTATGGCCAATTTTCACAAAAAAAGGCAAAGGCACTGCTTTTTTCAGAAAATTGGAAAAACGGCTCCAAAATCACCACAAATTTTTATTACATTTTCTGATACATTTTGATGTACTTATGCTATGCAGAAAGTTTGAGCCAATTCTGACTTCAATTTTTCAAGTTACGACCATTTAAAAAAAACACCAAAATTCTGAAAAATACCCAAGGCTATAGCCCATGGTTTTGTCAAAAAATGGCTCCGAAATCACCTCAAATTTTTATTACATTTTCTGATACATATTGATGCCCTTATGCTGTGTAGAAAGTTTGAGCTGATTCCGACTTCTATTTTTCAAGTTACAGCCATTTTAAGAAAACACCAAAATTCTGAAAAATACCCAAGGCTATAGCCCATGGTTTTTTTTCAAAAAATGGCTCCGAAATCGCCTCAAATTTTTATTAGATTTCCTGATACATATTGATGCCCTTATGCTGTGTAGAAAGTTTGAGCTGATTCCGACTTCTATTTTTCAAGTTACAGCCATTTTAAGAAAACACCAAAATTCTGAAAAATACCCAAGGCTATAGCCCATGGTTTTTTTTCAAAAAATGGCTCCGAAATCGCCTCAAATTTTTATTAGATTTCCTGATACATATTGATGCCCTTAAGCTATGTAGAAAGTTTGAGCTGATTTCGACTTCAATTTCTCGAGTGATGACCATTTCAAATATCACCTTGCATGCACAACTACATGAAATAGTTAATTAATGCATAGAATGTACCAATATATTGAGACGTGAACTTATTGAAGCAATCCTGCATTGAAGCCAACTGCACGAGAGGGTAAGACAGACCAGAGATAAATATAGGACCAAGGAAAGTCCTTGGAACTACACCTGGAAACTCCAAATGATCATACTAAACAACAATAATATTATAACAAAAGGGGGTGAATGCTTACCAAGTCTATGTCCTTGGTATGATAGAGTAGATCGTGCATGGCCTGTACATTGAAACTCTCTTCTACTTTAGTATACGGAGTAATAAAGAGCATCAGGAGGCTATAGAGACAGAGGAGGACTTCTAAAAGATAATCTAGGGCAGCCATTATCATGAACCAGATCTGTATCTACACGTGGGTAGGCGTTTGGTTTATTGACAATGAGATTAGAGGTATGTCTACTTATGATTGACAAATTGTTATTTAAATGTTTTTAGGTGATTAATATATTTAGAAAACTTCACAGAGTATCACAAAGAGTCTTCAAAGGAGATGTAGACACACTAACAAGTAACTTTAGTAGCCAATAGAGTCTTGTCTACTCTTGATAATATATACTACATAAATATTCAAACTCTACAGGTGTACGTTCAAAAATAAGAGAAGAATTCCACAGCAACAAAGACGTCACTGATTCAGAAGATATAGCAAAGGTATGAACACGCTCACATGTAACGTAAATGTATTATTATGTGCAGCTGTTGTCAGACGCAAGAGAAGTAGAGAAGATACTAAGAGAAAGGGTTGTACAAGCTGTAATGACAAAAGACAACTTGTACAGTAAGTGAGAAAGAGAAGGATAGAGTATCATAATATATACACACACACAGGCATGAAGATAAGAGAAGAGACAGTCTTGGAAGATACTCCACCATTGAAACCTATAAATAATTCTAAAAAGAAACAGTAATTTATCATCATTCTCATAATAATAATAATAATAATAATAATAATTTATATTTTGTTCTTGATGCGTTTATGACTGATCTGTGATAGTGCAAGTGAGAATGAACTCTTTCCACAAATGTCCCTAACATGACCAACCACTTCCTCTGCAAGCGAATGCAACTCCTCTCCTAAAAATGGCAAGCTAAAAATTTGGTCTGGGTCACCCAAAAAAATTTTATTTGCTACTAGAATTTTTTTGCACAAAAATATTTTAATTATAATACCTCCGATTTTATTATCATTTTTCATCTCTTTATGCAAAGGAGGGAGCAGCTTAACAAGCCACGCATCCAAGTGCTCGCGACCAATGACAGTTGATATGGCAGCTATCCATCTAAATACTGAACTTCTCTTGTGGGACTCTTTAGGAAAATGGCCGGTCTCAAAGCGACAGAGCCTATTCATTTGATCAAACAATCTTTCTAGTTGATCCGAAGCAGCAGAGTCCTTGAGACTCAGACTAAATAGAATGCGTCCAATGTATACGAGGTTTTTGACAGTCTGAAGATAAAATAAATATATAGAATACAGTGGTATTTCAATATGGACCTGATTGCTGAGCTCTGTGCTAAGAATGGGAGACTTGAGCTGTTTAATAAACCTCTCCTGTAGCTCTTTGACCTGCAGAATAAATTTGAAAGTAAACACTGTGTCTTTTACATTCAGCAGATTCACAAGAAAAAAAACAAGACGGGGCTTTAAAATATTTTAAAGACAAAATTTAATATGTCATGTACATGTACAAAGAGGTTTGAAAGAGATATTTGCTTATAAAAAGTAAATATATTTACTCGTTCAAATCTTCCTCCATTTATGAAAAATTGTATGCATGTTCTTCTATCAGAGATTGCTCTATCCTCATCTTCCAAGACTGCCAATACTGCCTCTACATCACACGAAGCAAATAAAATCCCAAACAGTTTTGAAGCAGCATAGCGGACCCAAGCATGTGGGTAGAGCAAATGATTGAAAACATTCTCTAGAAAAACAAATACCTTCAGAGATATTTAATCACGGAATGTTTACCAAAGATTTCATTTATCATAGTTTGAATAGAGTGGCTTGAGTGCTCAGTACTACAGTTAGTGAATATCTTCTCTAAAGTTACAAGGACACTGAACAAGTAGTGATCAATAGAGGATACGTCAAGATTCGCCGTCTCTTCCATTTTATCTTCTCCACCCTCCCTCTCCTCCTCTTCCTCTTTCTTTTCTGATTTTGTTGTAACTGAGCTTAAGTCTTGCCCGAGTGATTTGGAGAGAAGAGGAATAAATGTGGAGTGCCTCTCGAAATCTTTTCCTTCAATATCAACAATAATACCGAGAGATTGCACAGCTAACTGCTTGTGTATTAACTAAAAGAGAAAAGGAAGATACGGTATTGTGACTATCATCTGATGGTGTTTTATATATTAAAATACCTTTTCATGTGCAAACCAATCTTTAATTATTTCTACTATCAGATGTCTTGTCTCTTTTCCAATCTATAAAACAATGCAAATGTTAAGCAATAGCCTTGTACTGGAAACCAGATACTGCAAAACAGAAGTTATTATATTACTCGTTTTAATAATGTCTTGAGTATTTCTGCTATCATTTTGCGACACAGAGGAGAGTCATCATTGAACAATTGAGAGGAAAGTGGAATGAAGAAATAAGTTGCATGAGACTGCAATGACTTCTGATATTATTATACAAGGAGAGAGATGTTATGTGCTTATAATCACTACAATATAAAGAGAACTGACTTCAGGGAATTTATTAAAAATAAGATTAAGCATCTCCAATAAGCTCTCTCTACCATGTTGCTCTTCATAACTACAAACACACACACACAGCAACAGTCACAAAGGATGAAGTGAAGACTACCAGTATAAACTTACCCAATGTTTGCAACAAAGAAATCCAAATAACTGTTTAATTTTTTACCAAGATTATAAGTTAGCATAAATTGCAACATACACTATCATAATAATAATAATAAAATAATAATACTGCTCCTTTTATACTTGTCTGCTGTTGGCTCGGACTTTAGGACTATCTCCAGTAACCACCAGCTCTGCAAGCTTCCACATTACCTGATGCAACTCTGGAACCAAGAGCTTTCTCTTCAATATAACCTGCAAAATAAAAACAAATAAAAAAGATGAAAATAGCAAAAAATTTGGAACGCTTCACGAATTTGCGTGTCATCCTTGCGCAGGGGCCATGCTAATCTTCTCTGTATCGTTCCAATTTTAGTATATGTACTGCAAAGCAGTACAACAAGGGAGTGTGAGAATTTGTTTATATACCAAAGTCAAAATACACATTGAGGCTATTGTGGGTCGCACAACAGGAAGTGATGACGTGCTATGAATATCATTATAACTAATGACCCTTGGCTCACATTCAGAAGAGGGAAGGCAGTGCTCTGTCTCCTGTAGTCATGGACATCTTGCTCAACATAAGAGAGGAGCAGTTTGAGCTCTTCATCAGAAACAGAATAAAATGTAAAATCCTGCAAGACTTGAGTCATGGTCTAAAGAGAGAGAGAGAAGCAACTTTAAAGCAAAGCATAAAAATCCATTATGCAATGAACAGGATTCTATCTATAAGAGTGAAGTATAAGCTAACTTTAAAAGCAATGGCCACCAATTCTTGATTACTGTCACTGCAGACCGAGCCAAGGTAGCCATAGTGTTTCAATACAGCAAATAACTGCTTCACTAATATTGACACTTGTTGCTGGCAAAAAGACAAAATAATAGTCAATAAATAAATTTTAAAAATATAAAAGTTCATCTCTCTCTTACTGTTAAAGATGGAAGTGGTAGTTTCATGATTCTCATTAAAGATTGTATTATTTTTGACAGAAGTTTAACATGCCTTGAGTCTAATGCTTCAGTCAGCAGTGGTACGAATGGATCAAGCATTTCCAGCATCTCTTTTGATAATGGCTTATATTTCTCTTTCTTTAGGAAAACATCAAAAATCTGAAAGGAAAGAGAGAGAGAGAGAGAAGGTAGTCTAATTTGAAAAAATTCCATTGTCCTTCACCTGCAACCCAAACAAAGTGATGAGGTGGGCCCCCATGTCTCCTTCATAAACTGGACGTGGCTTAGAACGAGAAGGTTTAGGAGGTAATAAACGCGAGTCTTTAATGTCCCAAACAGTGCCATCAGTAGAAGGAGCCCTACAAAATACATGTGTAAATACACATGTATTGTAGTCCAAAGAAACAAAATAACTTTACAATTATTACACTGTGCTGTAAGAGTTAACAAAATTTTTGTAGCATAAGAACTGGGTGCTCTATAATGTAAATACTTTGGTTTTGCTTGAAGTTGAGGTATAGTTCTATTGATTGTTCCATGTATAAACAGCAACAGAGTCTTAGGAGTGAAGGCTTTGTTGCTTAATATACCATAGACCAGTCTCTTGAGAACATCCTCCACTATAGATGCTGTTTTAGAGCTGGGACTACTCTCTATTACCTGAGAGAGAGAGAGAGAGAGAGAGAGAGAGAGAGAGAGAGAGAGATTATCATTTCCTATTTCACAATATTCTAACTTCTTTGAGTGGTTGTATTAGAGAGGGCAAGAGAGGAGGAGAGAGGTAGCGTGCTACCAGACCATAAGTATGCGAGCTCTTGCACTTCTTGCCTTCTGGTATTTTATTTATGAGTTTATCAACCTCTCTCTCTTCAGACTGATGCCCAAACAGATCAGGAATGAGAATCTAAAAGAATGAGTATGAGATCATTAAAATAGAGGAAAGATTCTCACTTCATTAAAGTGGTGGAGACAAGAGTCCAAGTCTCCTACTACTAGAGTTGATGAAGCTAATCCATGAAGCAAATGATGAACAGTGAAACTCAACACATGTAGCTATAAATGGTAGAGAGATATGATCAATATCATTATTACTATTAGTATCATTACTATGAAAAGCACAAGTTATGCTAATTAGAGAACTATGCAACCATGATAACACTTTAGACAACATTAAAGTTATAGAGCAACACTCATTTTAATAGTCTTCCACTAAGAGCCTCATTTTGGCTCTCATGACGCCAAAAAGGTTCCCATTCAACTCCATTAACACTAGCTCATCTTTATAACTAGTTACCTGGTATCCACGAGTGAGTGAGTCTCTAAGCTCCCGCAGAGTGTCACTGAGATAAGACCCGCCAAGCGATTGCAACATTTTAAGTAGCGTAGTTCTAGCAAGAGACCTCACATCCTCAGCTCTACTCCTCAGAGTCTGGCATACCTTAAGAAGCAAGCTAGCAAGGGAGAGAGAGAGAAATGGAGTGGAAGTATTTTTAAAGTATGTTAAACTGAAGTAGGCTCAACCTGGATAGATGGAGCTGGATTGACGGTTTCGGGAGTAGGAGGAGGAGTTTCGTCATTGCCATAGCAACTGGTACCCTCAACTTCTCTGAATCAAAGTTGTTCTCTTTGTGACTTAATCTGTGCTGAGGGATCTCCGACTAAAAAAAAATAAAAAATAAAACAATTTGACATTATTTAAGCTGTGACAGATTCCAATAAAAATTGGATTTTTTTTACAAATTTTAAGTTGTTCAAAAGTCGCTTTACTAGGTACAGGGACTTTCATTAAAAAATCACTAAGAAAACTCTCTATTTTTGATGCACATCACTACAGCATTATCTAACAGTGTTACTAACCTGTAGAGTGAGTACTGACTGAAGACTTGGTAATATAATAGTGACAATAGCTTTGTGAATATGATTAGATATATTTCTGGCATCTTCATCTTCAGTCTCCATTCCTTCTCCAACTTCTTTACTAATCAGTTCACTACTGCAAGGCTCAGCCATTGATTGACTCTCAGTAAGAGGAGCATCAGTAGGAGATACAAAGAAATGAAACTGGTCCAATATGGCCACCACAACTCTGACAAGAAAATATGAAATATACAAAAACATTAACTCTCTCTTGCTCTACCTAATAATCTGTCGATGTATTTCCAAATTTTTCGGGAGTTGATGCAAATAATGCCTCAATAAATTATAATAATTGGACCAAGAAAGCTTAGAGGCAATGGCCGCAATGACATTAACAGCTTCTTGAAGCATGTTGGTCTCCCGAGAAGAGAGAGGAGAAAACACAATGTGACTAGCTAAAGGTAAGAGATAGGATGTCATTGTGTTCTGAGAAAGATTGCCGTGAGTGCAAACTCCTGCTAGTTTCCTGTAGGCTTTAGTGCGTCGATGGAGCTGAATGTGACAAACGTTTTTAAAGAAGTCCACCTCAGGATCAGAATGAGAGAGAGGACTGAGCTCAGAGAAGCGACTTGGATAAGAGTTTACCAACTGAGAGAGTACATCTATAAACTCTGATATTGTAGACTAAAAGAGAGAGAGAGAGAGAGAGAGAGAGAGAGAGAGAGAGAGAGAGAGAGAAAAGAGTGAGGGAGTATATTTTTATGTTAGCTATCATTACTTCTTTCTTAGCTCTTAGTCCAGTCTTTAAACTTGGTATAATAGTACTCATTATGAGTACATCAAAAGATACAGAACCTAAATAATAATAATAATAATAATAATAGTTGCTTACGTTCTGAAGGCACAGCTGCAATGATGGCTGACAATAAGCTGCTAGCACCGTCTCTTATAGAAAGGTCACCAGACTGAAAGAGAAAGGCGAGGACTATTTGACACATGTCAGCTCCACAATAAACTATACCTCATGAATGAAGAATAATGCATTATGCAATATTGGCAATACTAATTGAGAGTCTTTCTTGTTGCTTGAGAGATCAAGGGCTGCTATAAAATCTCTACCTTCTGCAAATCCCTCCTGTCGCTTTTCATAATCTGGCTCTTCAATTTGAGTGGGCTCCCACAAATTTATCTTTTCAAAAAAATAACTCACAAAATGGCTTAAAGATAGAAGTCTTACCTTTGCAATAACTAAAGATATTTGCCCAAGGCTCTCATCTTTCTTAGCTAACTCCTGCAAAAGTTAGTGACTATTCAGTTCATTTTTGGCTTACCAAAAATATATTGCATAATAATTGTCTACTTTTCCTCTTGTATAATGTAGAAAATAGCTTAGATAGTGGACTAAAAAAGAATTTAATACTATATTCGTGTTTGTAAAAAGAAAAAATAGTGTCAGAAGTGGGATTCGAACCCACGCCTACAAGAGTAGACTGCGACCTGAACGCAGCGCCTTAGACCGCTCGGCCATCCTGACAACTTAACCATCCATTAAAAATAGTAAAGTAGTCATACTGACCTGTAAAATTTCTCAATATTGAATGAAAACCCAATCAAATTGAGAACACTTGTTAAAATTGAGTCACACTCCCTCTAAAATCATAAAAATAAACATAGAAACAAACAAAATCACAAGGCCTTGCCTTTAATTTGTTAGAAAGCAATGGTAAAAGCAAGTCTATTAACATCTCTGCCTCACTTTTCTCAGTCACATGACCACAAATCCTGCAAAAAACCAGTTAAGACTTGTTCGCTCAGCAAAGAATTTTATATGCATGCATACATTGAGAGCAGCTTAAACTCCAGCTGGACTTTTCCCTCTTTAATTCCCTTCTCTCTAATAACAGAGCTTAAATAAGAAAGAAGACTTGGTATAAAAGGACGCAGTAAAGTCAAGCCAAGCTCAAACGGTTCAGATACAACCTCCATACTTTCTTCTTCTTCCTCCTCCTCCTCCTCTTCTTCCTCTTTTAAAGGTTTAAGAAGATTAAGAGTAAGTTGTAAAATGGTCTGAGAAACAGTAAGAGAGACAGTTTCGTTGGACAAACACTTAAAGACAAAATGGAGGATGGGAGAGCTCTGGCTTGAAGAGAGAGAAAGGTTGATATTAGTAGGAACAGGAGCTCTAAATATGGAGTATAATCTACACAAGGAGAAAGAGAAGAAAGGAGAGGAAAAAGTTAATATCAACACTTTCGCATACTCATGATGCTGTGAACAGACTAGTAGGAGTTTAAGTAATGGAGTGGGATGCTGGAGGCATTCTTGATGGAGCCTCACTAATTGAGGCCACACGACACAAGACAGTAAGTCAGAGACGTAAGGAGACAAGTCAACATAATAAAACATGTCTAGGAGCTAAAGGAGAAAGATGAAACCAGCATGAAGACGTTTTCAATCTCTTACATCAGTCATTAATGAAATAAGTAAGTGACGTATTGTCTTTAAAGAATTAATGAATTTAGTTTCAACCTACAAATGAAAAAATTATTTCCAAGATAAGCACAAATTCTTTCAATTTCAATATCTCACTTGTTCTCTAAGTTTAGTGTTTAATATCTCATTGGACGATTTAGAGAGAGAAAAGAATAGAGGGAGGAGTTTTGGCAGGTGTGGTTTTAGTTGAGTAGTAACGACAGTTAGTAACTGTCTCATCTCTTGAAGGAAGCCATGCTGTCTTCTAAGAGGCACAACAGATAATGGAGAGAGCGAGTTAGAGCCTTCAGATACTGAGAGAGAGAGAGAATGATAAAATTAATATTATACAATGTGGAAAAAATTGAAGGGCATTAATATAATAGTCAACATAAAAGCTGTCAATTTAATATTTTGGTAAACCTGCCAAATATTTATTCTTGTAATTAGTTCTCTCTCACCATTAAAGTGTGATAAAGATGAGGTCATTATCTCAACCATTTCTTTGATCTCTCTCTCTCCACATGATGACACAAAACGAAGTATTGAATTCTTTTTTGACGAGCTCCCATTGACTTTTGATGAGCTTCTCATTAAACCGTACAGCAGACTGAAGAAATTAATTAATAAACATTCAAACATTCATAATCTCATACCGGAGCAGAATGGGAATGAGTCCTTCAACATGATCTTCAGCAACAATAGTATCCTTGCTTGAGAAACTATGAACAAAACACAATCATCATTAATATTATAATTATGGGTCTTATACATGTAGTTACATTTCTTTTCACCTACACCTCTCACTCTCTCAATAAAAGAATAAAAATATCATTTCAAAATGTACTTTAGCAACAACAGCTGCTCTCTGAATGACTTCTCCTCCAACAGCAACTCCAAATTTTCACTATAAAATTATTAAAATATATAATTCACACTTTTAGCTAACCAGTAAGGATTGAGATATGGCTTTTTGTAATTCTTCAAACAAGAGAGAGACAGTTTCTGTATCTTTACCTCAGGGCTCATCAACAGCTATACATTATGTGATAATAACACACAGCTGGTTTACCACTGCCAATCTAACTTTCATATATAGAGACAGCAAGTGGTCATTACAGTATAGTCCACGATGATTAGTTAATTTTGACATTAATGATAACATGGACAACAGTGTTCTACAAAAAATAACCAAAATAAGACTTCTTAGCAGATTTCTGTTTCTCACTTGTTCAATCCATTGTGACTGTCAATGATCTTCTTACCCTCTTTATTAACCCTCTTACCTCTATCAGGGTAAGGAGACTTTATCTTACTAACAGAAACTTCATCTTTTTCACTCTCATCTTCTCCTTCTTCTTCTCCCTCTTCTACTCCAGTAGAAGGTGCAGTTTTACTAATGTCTTGTGTCTTGATAAATGTATCATCACTCAGTCCATACTCTTCACTACATAATTAGTTAATATCATGAATATAATTTTTAAAGTAACTCTCTTACTCAATAAAATTTAGCAATAGAGGAACGATCACTCGTGATTTCCTCTCTGCAACTTTAGGGAACTTCTCCATGGATCTCCATAGCAACCGACGATAGTTCCAGTGATCGGGACATCCCCATTCTGAGCTTTTCATTTCCATTGCAACACTCTCAAAAACATCGTGTACATTCAAACACGACAAATTACTATGTGTGTCACTTGTTGGAGAGACTTTAAAGGAATTAATAAAAGGTGTAGATCTTTTTAAAGTACCTTTATTGTCATTTTTGTCATCAAGGACTTTACTTGATGAATATTGAAGGATTTCACTAAATGTACTCCAAAACAATTCAATTATTTCAGAAGATGATGCATAAGAACTGCAGGAAAATATCACATGACAGTCACATGATCTTAATACCTTATAAGGTCAATGACTGGATCCCATATTAAAGTAAAATTAATGTACAACTGGCCAAGAAGAAATCTCAAAGGCACCTTTTATAATAATGAATAAAATGTTAATATTAATTCTAATAATAACCTCAATAATGTCATTGGACAATGAGCTGAAGAGATTGGACGAATACTTTAACTTTGAGAGACAAACAAGTTTATTACGATACTATCAAAGAGACATAACAAATAAAGATAATATTTCAACAATAATTTACTGTCTCGAGTGATGATTGTACAGTCTCTGCTTCCAAACAAAACTGCAATAAACTAAGTACAGGTTGGCCCTAAGATAAAGTATCATTATCAATAATAGTCTTCATTTAATAGATACCACCTCATTAATGTCAGTCGGAGTAAATGAACAGGAATTCAATATTTGAAGAGTGGTGGTTCTAATCTAAAGTATTCATTAATTTAATACAACAGAGTAAAAATGATTGATTTACTGCTCCACTGGGAGAAGTGAGGTTAGTCTTGAGTAAAGGGAGCAGGTCCATTAGCTGTGGACTCCTTTCATCATTGATGTGCTTGTAATAATAAAGAACACACTGTAACACAGGAAGACTGCTGGGATAAGCATTACTAGAGAGATGATAAATAAAAAAAACAATACATTTGAACACAAGTACATTGAAATTTGATGCATTTATGTTGAGTAAAAAGATTGAATCAATGTTTATTGAGTCAGTAAAAACAAGCTAATTTATGGGCTATAAACAAATGGCCTTAAAAGTAACCAAAATTTTATTACATTTCCTGATACATTTTTGATTTGTGATGCCAAAAGTACATGTATATCTTACATGGCTAGTAATGGTAATTCAGGATTAATGAGGTCGTTCCTCATAAATACAGCTGTCATGATGGTCTGTGAAATCAACAATAAATAATCCTCATTACATCCACCAGAGGAGAGCCTGTCATGTATCCACAGTAACAGCCTCTTCATCAATTTAATTAAATCGGACGGTATAATCCTAAAAACAAATCTTGTTCATTCTCTCCACACTCTCTTACTCTAAATATTGAAGACATTTCATAATGGACCACATCAAACTGGTGTCCAATTCTCCTCCTCCTATTACTCTCCCACCTTTAGACGTCTTCTTTATCTCTCCGGTCAATAATTTAGAAAACATGAACACCACTTTACTGTTACTTGAAAGAAAAGAGAGAGAAGGGGAGGAGGAGGAGGGAGGGAGAGGGGAGGGATGAAAGTGTAGAGTTAGTTTCGTTAAAAATACAACTAGTCTTTCCCAATTCTCTTCATCAGCTCCAGCCATCTTTTCACAATAATTCAAACAATCTTTTAAAATTACCTAAAACAATAAATGATTATTTACTGACACATGTACATGTGAAAAAGGAGACTTACTTTATCAAAGTGTGTGTATCCGTTACTAAGAAGCTCCCACACAAACTCAATCACATGATCAATGCAGCTCCACCCATCAAACACGCTATGAAGTATCTCTTTGTGGGTATGGTCAAAAGATTGCGAAACCAACAAGAGAGAGGCAATCAAGTGAAGAGTCACAGAGGGCAAGTGGGCATCAGCTGGGAGGGCCGAGTCTCGTACCAGATCAATAACAAACTATAAAAATAGAAGATATTTTAAATGTCTAAAAGTCCCTGTACTGCAATCAAAATTTCATTAATAGTATTAATAACTAGAGATACGCCTACCTTGTGTAGTCTGTTATTGATAAAATGTGGTACTCTTGTCCCTTCCCTCCATGATACGAGTATTCCAATTAAATGAAGAAGATTACTCAAATGTAGTGACAGACAATCAGGCTGTGATTTTGATGACCATTGCTTCCTTGTATCCTCTACAGCAGTCTAGAGAGAGGGGGAGAAGAGAGAAGGAGTAGGTAAACAAAACAAATCATTGTTAAATTTTACAATTAATGGATTCCAAATGGGTAGAGAGAAGTCGCATCTCGTATGCTCAGCTTGCAGCTGACACATTTTACGTAACATTTGGAGGACATTTTCATTGTCACTGAACTCAGCAGCTTTACTATACAGTACAGATAAAAACTGGAGGGCAAGGAAACATAGTTTATTATTATACATGCACATGCAACATGTTTTACTTTCTCAGTACAAGAGTGAAACTGTTTTTGAATTCCTTTGCAAACTTCGAAAAGCAGCTGCCCCATACCATCAGATAACTATACCTACCAATTAATACATTGCATACACAATATAGAGAGTACCTGTTCTTCATTGGCAACTGACTGTAGCATTAGAACACAGAGGCCTTCAACATTACGGACCTACAAAGAGAAAACTAGAAAGAAGAGAACAAAAACAAATAATCACTTTTCTCAATAGAAATCCGAAACTCTCAACAGCAAACTGCCGTATGTAATCTTTCTGCCATGACAAGAGAAGCTTAGAATAAAGCCTACGAACATGGCATGACAATAATCATGATTACTTCTCACTTACTGAAATACGTTTGTGATATCATGAAGCATCTGTCGCCACAGATACTTAAAAAGATAAGCCAAGCAGGTGAATACTTGCTGTAATGCAGATACATTGTATAAAAAATAAATAATAATTAATATAATACTTCTATTGACTTGGCGTCTGGTAAATGACATAGGGAGACCAGTGTAGTGAATAACTGTCCAAAATATGGATAGAAATCGTTTTGTAAGTCTTTAGCCAGCTGGACCAATAAACTGAGGAGAAAGAAGAGGATTCAAATGTAACGTTACTTGTCATTTTTTACTCCAATAAGGATTCTAATTCAAGAGTGTCCTTGTTTTGAAGATGAGACTTTAATCTTTCAATAACAAACTCCTAATGAACACTTTAAAGGAGAAGTGGAGGGACAGTCATTACCTTGTGGTGCACTAGCAATGGAAGAGACTGAGTCTTTTCAAAAACCTCGTCATAAAATTCAACTAATTTTTTAAAAGCATACTTTTTAAAAACCAAACAATTTGTTACTTACTAAAAGGGTTAGAACAATTCAATTCCCTCCATTTCAGTAGAGACTCATGAAAAAATGAGTGCTCGTCCTAAAGAGAGAGGAAGCATTAAATAGAAAAAGAATTGACATAGTCATACTGAAGTTATGTTAGTAGAGAGTGATGCTGATGAATGGTCAACTCTGTGAACCACGTCTATCCTTATACTTGAGATCTGCTCATTGAAGGAACGGAACTACAAAAAGACAGTCAGTGAAGTTCTCTCTCTCTATTCTCTCACTTTAAACTGTTTCTTCCCTTCCATACTCATCTCGATACTTATTCACTGCTACGACCAAGGACACCACGTGGACACGTGTATAGGACACGCCTTTATATTATAGCTCACGTGACACATTTCTCAATTAGTTATTAAAAATAGTTAATTAAAATAGTTAATTACTATCATAAATAGTGTTTTAAAATGAACCCTAATTATCTTCCTCATTTTTCTCCAACTGCACAGAAGCTTCACCTAAAATTCCGCAGAGCTGCTTAAGTCTTGCTTGCATTTCTGGTATCCCTGCTAGCTGAGCTTCCAGTCGCTGCTTCTCTTCATTTAGAGAGAGTCTTGTTGCCGTGTCCAACTCCTCCATCCTCCAACCACCTTCACCATCAAACTGCAACATATGAGAATGAAAACGCCTGGAGAAAGAGAGAGAGATGGAAAGAAAGTAGAGAGTTTTAAAATAAAGATGATTTTGAAAAATTGTAAATTGTAAAAAAACATTTAAACTTGACAGTTGAAGTAAAAGGCAATACAGAATTATAATTTGTCCAAATATACATCAACTTCAAAGCCCTATTTGCATCAAAAGGTCAGATTGCCCACACTTTTATATCAATTATTGTAAATGCTCCAATCCTTAAATCAAAAGTCTCTTTCTCTCTCTTACCATAGAGATGGCCTGTGTGATATTGTCAAGAGTGTAATATTATTATCTTTTGCAGTTTGAAATATCGCCCCCTCGACGTCGATGCTCACTGCACTGGTACACTCATCTAGGAGGGCAAACTTGGGTCTGAAGCATAATGAAAATTAGCATGAGGACCAGACCCAGAATGACACATAATTACTTGTGATAGAAGAGCCTGGCCATTCCCATCCTTTGCTTCTCTCCACCAGAGAGGACATCTTTCCAATCTCCTTCTGCATCCCAACCTAAAAATACATGTATACATTACATTCTCTCTGTCTCTCTCTGTCTCTGTCTCTTTCTTTCTCTCTCTCCCTCTCTCTCTCTCCCCCTCCCTCCCTCTCTCTCTCTCTCTCTCTCTCTCTCTCTCTCTCTCTCTCCCTCCCTCCCTCCCTCTCTCTCTCTCTCCTCTCTCTTTCTCTCTCTCCTCTCTCTTTCTCTCTCTCTTACCTCCCTCTCTCTTCACAATGTAGTGTAGATGTACAATGTTCAGTATATTCTCAAGGTCTTGGTCAGTATATCCTTTATTAGACATGTCCTCATTTGTGTCCGGATAAATCACTTGATCTCTTAACGTACCAAGTGACATATAAGGTCTGTAGATGAACAAAAATTTTTTATAAAATTTGCATATTTTTACTGCTCATCTGATATAATTTTTCTTGCATTTTACCTCTGTGGTATGTAGAACATTGTTGATGGGTGTGGCTTAGTAAGAACACCTCCATAAACTGGCCACAATCCACTCAATATTCTAAATAAAGAGCTCTTGCCACACCCATTGGGACCGGTTATTAACAGGTGCATGCCAGGCTCAACCTAGAACTTAATAACTAGCTCCGCCCTTTTAATTACCAAACTGACTTTGAAGGACAGTTTGGAAACAACTACATCTTTATTAGGAGTAATTATAGGGACGTCCTCCAGTATTATGAGCTCATCACTATCATATACTGTACCTGAATTGAACTATAACCGAGAAGAAACACAAGTAAATACATATTATACATAATATTACAATTATATACACAGAGTGAATAGTAGTATGTTACTGACTGATGTTATAAAACTTCTAGGGGATCCATTTGCAGTTGGTTCTAATGAGTTTGATACGCTGACAGTTCCAGCTGGTTTCAGTACTCCTCTCTGAGCCTCTTCAAATACCCCAAGCATCTCACTAACCCGAGAAGTATACCCAGCCAGCTCTGTTATCTGAAACGGTAGAAGGAGGGGAGAGTTAAATGGATTGTTATATAAAAGAAGATAAGTACTAACCTCTTTATAAGAGGTCATTAATCTCTCAATGGCGTCTGCCCCATTCATTAGTAGATTTTTTGAAGTTGTGTACAATCTTGTTCTCTCACTAACTGATATATCTTCATGAGGATCATCCTCACCCTACATGTGTACAAACAAACATACATAAGAAAAAATGTAACTGCAAAATAAATTTATAACTCAGCAGCCTTCACACTTGCTACAAGCAATAGCATGTACAAAATGAAACAAAATGTTAGTTCTTAAAACAACTTTGAATCACTGAAGTTAATGCTCCACCAAAATTTTTCCACATTATAAATTTTATGTGTATGTACATGTACTTGTAATGTACTATTACTGTATAGTACCATATCTATGATAGTACTGTACCTCTTGTGGTTCATTCTTGGTCAGTATAGGCCAAGCTACAATGACTAGACCTGCTAGTCCCCAGACGTATTTCATTAGAAACTGCTCAAGCATTATGTACCAAAGCTTCTTCTGAAAGATCAAATTCATTTGTTGAGTCAGTGACTTGAAGTTCCTCCACAATAGGTTGTGCTCAATCTGTGAGAAATAAAGCATAAGACATGTACATGTACTATGTATCACACATGAGTACATGTACACTTGTACATGTATAAAAATGTAATAAAAATACACAAAGGCTGTGAACTATACTTTGGTTTTTTCCCAAAATTTGCTACTTTACCTTAAGAAAATGGCGATAACTCAAAAAATTGAAGTCGGAATTAGCTCAAACTTTGTACATAGCATAAAGACATCAATATGTATCAGAAAATGTAATAAAAATTTGGAGTGATTTCGAAGCCATTTTTTGGAAAAAACCATGGGCTAAAAAACCATGGGCTATAGCCTTGGGTATTTTTCAGAATTTTGGCGTTTTCTTAAAATGGCCGTAACTTGAAAAATAGAAGTCAGAATCAGCTCAAACTTTCTACACAGCATAAGGGCATCAATATGTATCAGAAAATGTAATAAAAATTTGGAGTGATTTCGAAGCCATTTTTTGGAAAAAACCATGGGCTATAGCCTTGGGTATTTTTCAGAATTTTGGCGTTTTCTTAAAATGGCTGTAACTTGAAAAATAGAAGTCAGAATCAGCTCAAACTTTCTACACAGCATAAGGGCATCAATTTGTATCAGAAAGTGTAATAAAAATTTGGGGTGATTTCGGAGCCATTTTTTGGAAAAAACCATGGGCTATAGCCTTGGGTATTTTTCAGAATTTTGGCGTTTTCTTAAAATGGCCGTAACTTGAAAAATAGAAGTCAGAATCAGCTCAAACTTTCTACACAGCATAAGGGCATCAATATGTATCAGAAAATGTAATAAAAATTTGGGGTGATTTTGGAGCCATTTTTTGGAAAAAGTGATGGGCTATAGCCTTAGGTTATTTTTCAAAAATTGGCTCATTTGTAAAAATGCTCATAACCCAAAAATTATTTGTCAGAAACAGCTCAAACTTTTTATACAGCATTAGGACATCAATATGTATCAGAAAATGTAATAAAAATTTGGAGTGATTTTGAAGCCATTTTTTGGAAAAAACGATGGGCTATAGCCTTAGGTTATTTTTCAAAAATTGGCTCATTTGTAAAAATGCTCATAACTCGAAAATTATTTGTCAGAAGCAGCTCAAACTTTCTACACAGCATAAGGACATCAATATGTATCAGAAAATGTAATAAAAATTGGGAGTGATTTTGGAGCCATTTAATTACAAATCTGTATAAAATCCAAAACCACATTGTCCAATTTCATCAGCTCAAACAAAGTGAAACCAGAAAAAAGGAAGTGTGTGGCAAGCTGAGGAACTCAAAGTTCAAATATGATCTAATTTGCTAGGAGACTACTAGAATGAGATAAAAGGATATTCCATGACCCTCCAAGTGTTGTATTCCTGCTAAATTTAATAATATCACATTTGCCCAAGCACAGTCGGAACCAATTATAAAAGAATACACAGTATGGTTGTTTTTTTTGCTACAATGCACATATAACTACACATGTAGGTGTAAAATTGACATTGGCAATAGATGAAGACAGGCAATAATCATTCATTCCTTCACTACAAAAACAACTATAACTGAAGCCATATTTGCAATAGTTGCAATTCTTACTCTGTGCCCTGCATAGAAAGCTATTTCTTCGGAGTTAGTGATAACACGAGAGTGGAGATATCTCAAAAACCCGTTCCTTCTCGCCTCTTCTGCAACCAGCTTGCCAAACTGCGGAGATGTCAGCTTCAAAATGGTCGCCGTAAGACCAATGGTAGACAAAGCAATGATCGACGGTTGGTTAGAATTCTGTCCTCTCTTTTTAGCCATACGAACCAGAGCCCCTACCATTAGTAGAACATCAAGAATCGGTTTGCTGACGTGAGAGTAAATGTGAGTGAGGGAGGAGGAGAACGCTTGGAGGTCTTCGGTAAGGGAGTGGTCGGGATTCGAGAGACGACCGTCCAAATTACTCACCCTGTAGTAGGTCTGGTTACGAAAATACAACGAGTAAGCGTGACTGGTTAAACGAGTTCGTATGCTCAGCGCTAGCTTGCATTCGAGATAACGTATGAGGCTGTTCACAAAAGTGGCCGGTATGGCGACCAGTATCCAGTTGACTATGAGTGTGAGGAACCGCGGTACGTTACCCTCTACTATCGACTTGACCAATCGACCGTCTAGCTGAGCCACGTATATAGAGAGGAAGGTCCTCGAGACGAGGGAGAGCGTGTGAGCTACTAGTAGGCCGAACTCTGTCGTCCATAGCCCGGGGATGGAAATTTGGAGTAATTTGAGAAGCTGTTTGAGGAAGGCTGCGTTAAGGCTAGGAGCGTTGTGCTTCTTCTTTGAAGGTTTGGCGACATTGCGTTGCTTCTTTCTCTTCATGTAGTAGTATATAGCGAGCCCTAAAGCGCCTGCTCCTAGCAATAAAGCTGTTCTTGTTCCTCCTGCCATCAAGAGCTTGCTCTCGTTGGCCATGTTGAGGGTAAAGGCGTGGCTTACTCAACACGTGGGCGTTGAATTTGAGTGGGCGTTGAATTTGAGTGGGCGTTAGCTCAATCTGCTTCAGCGGAAAGCTGAAAGAGTAGATCTCTTTAAGCCCAACATACACAAGGCGACATGTTGCTAGCAAATTTTGCGGTTACTTTAATCTTATATTTAAGAATAGAAATTTGTTCTATTTTTGGAACAAGTCAATTACAAATGCAGGCAACAAATCTTGCAAGCCTAGTGTGTGCAAGTACAAAATTTTCAGGCTATCAATTCATAATGATTTTCCTTTTTAAACCTAACATGGTAGGCAACATGTTACTATGTGGTTACTATCTAAGAATAGAAATATCAAATGTGTTCTATTTTTGCAACTATTGCAGGGATGCCATGGGCGTAGCCCTTAATTTGGGTGGGCGTTGGTAACGATCGTAGAATGGCTACTCCCGGTGAGGTGCTGGACGGAGATATTGTACTTATACATAGCCCTGATACTTCAGGACTTGTATACAGCAAATCTTTTAGGTATGCAATAAATATATACTAAAAAATTTTATCATCTAGTTCAATAATGCAATCTACTTTAGTTCCAATCAAAGTGATTTCTTGACTATTGAGTCTCAGAAGAATAATGGTTTCGTACTTGAATGTAAGTACATGTACACAGATCTAATCTGCAAAATGATTTATGCAGCACTATTAAATGAATCACTGTCTCACACTGAAGGGAATTGTGAAAATACTAATTGCATGTAAGAATGCTTATATAGGCCAAACTATGACTAAACTAAAGATCATCTGTCCAAATTTTTACAAACACCATATAGCACTTTCACAGATTTATAAAAATAAATTTTCATGAAAATAACTTTTGCAAATTCAAAGTGTTAGCGCCACACCTTTTAATGATGATTGAATATTTAGTGGAGCATTAACGGGGTTGCATGCTAATTTGTAAAAACCACAAAAGTTTTGTTCCTCAAAAATTAGGTGCTGTACAGTTTACATAACTTAATTTTTTAATAGCCCATTAACACTGAGGTAATTGATTCATGTTGCTTATTATGACTGGAACTGTTCCCAGAATACTAATTATAATCATTAACGAAACTAGAACTATAAAGTTGAGATCAATATCATGCATTACAAATGAATTTAATCTGTGTGCATTTATGAGCCATAAATTTTTATAGTTGCTGCATTCTGCATTATTCAAAGGAAACAGAGGCAAAAACAAAGTTGTCAAAAGTAATGATATTATGACAAGCAATAATAATTATTTTTATGATTTATATAGTGGGACATCTCAGCTAATGGAAATTGTTTATGGCAGTACGGTCAGTGTATATTCCCGCCGTTTAAATTTCCAAATGTTTGAGATTTAGATATTATGGTAAATACTCAATAATCTAATGTCTAAACAATTGACATTTTGCAAGTTATGAGTAAAATAATAATTTCATAAATCCTAATAAATTTAATTTTTGTAATTAAAATGGTGATGCCAATAACTATATGTACAAAACATTTTGTAATTTTACAATTGGTGTTTTAGGAGTAAAATTCAGTTGCATAAATATTTAGAACATTGGATTTGTAATTTTAGTTCTGAATTTGCAAATTTCCAAAGTTACATATTGTCTCATTCAAGAAAGTCAAGCATAAAATAATATTTTCAAGGGGATCCT